GCCTACGCCTGACTATGTCGATGTCCTTGGTGTTCATTGTCAACGCAGATCGGCCCGTAGATCTTTTTCGTAGAATTTTCGCTGAAACGCTCCAAGAGCTGCCCCATCTGCCACCATGCTGAGCCGTGTAGTATCTACGTCTTCTAAGGTGTGAGTTTGGTGTGGCGAAAAGTGGCCTAGTTTCTAAATGGCTTACTAAGATCATAGTAGCATCTGCTGACCAACACTGTCCTTCTCCGAATCTCAATCTCTGACTACCTCAAAGTTGTACTTTTCATGTTCCATTTACTTCCAATCCCACTTTGGCAGACTCCTTCTTAATTTGTTCAAAGGTGGCTGTTAACGGTCGCAAAGTTCGACCAATCATATCCACCGTATGACCTTTTCTAGCAGGATGTTAAAAGGTTAAAGGAGAGGCTGTCACCTTGCCTGAACCCTCTCTTCAGTTTTGAAGAGGTCCTTTCTGACGTTAACTGCTGACCTTGTTTAGTTTAAGTCATGGTATAATAATAGAAGGTAACAGCAAGTGTTGTTGTACAAAAAACGATACAACAACCACATGGAAATTTGTTGTTGTAAGTTCTACTAGTGTCAACTCATTTGACAGAAAAATGTAAACAAACAAACAAATTATCATCAAATTATTTTTATTTTGAAAATGAAATATTTTCGAATCCTCAAAATAAAAATTGAAAAACATGAATGAAAATCTATCAAATTTATATTTCTATCTATTCCACATCTTTCCTATAATTGAGCCATTGCCATATATATGTGTAACACATATGAAAATGCTGGGAATAGCGAGTTATTCCTTGAAGAAAGATTTGCTTCCTCAAACTTTCCCAGCAGGCAGATTGAGTAAATTGAAAACAGGAGCACATTTAATACAGCACAATTTTAAATTGTATGCGTTCCCAATTTTCCTGTTGGGTGATTTTTAAAAACATAATTTGTCAAATTCATATTGACACTAGTATTACGTTGGAATCAAATCAGCTGGGATTTGCTGTTACCTTTTATAATTGTACCATGAGTTTAAGTTATCCTGCATAGCCATCTTTTTGGTCACATGCAAAAATCGAAAAGTTTAATAGGCGACTTTTGCGATCGATTAAGTATCCTCATACCGTGCAATCTCAACAACAAAAATCTGTGCCCTAGTCACATCAGAAAACGAAGTTGAGTAACACCAGAAGTCTTTAAAATGTTGATTCACACAACGTATTAATAAAGTATTGTAAGAAAGTTAGCGGGTTAGTATTTCTATTACGCCATTTTGTCAGCACAGACCTATCTCGTTCGATCTAGTAACTCGTAAATGAAATATAGAGTTGGGTAGTTCCGGAACGAACTAGTTCATTGGAAATATTCCGAGAAAGGAACGATCGGAACTATGCGCCGCTCTTTGGTTCTTATAGTTTCCCTATTTGATCTCGCCTCTTTTTCTAATTTCATTCTTTTTTACCCAGATCCTTCTTTCTCGTACATTTTTCAAATGTTCACTAAATGTAGACATATCCTCGTCAATACATTTACCAATTTGTTTTCCTTTTTTCATTCACCAACGAATCAACACGGGTATATGGCAAATATATGCAGCGAAGGAAATGGAATAAGGAATATCGATCCTATACGTGAAGAAGATTGACCAATTTAACGGATTAGGGTTTCTAGCACATCATGAAGTGTATGGGTACTCCAGAGTTAGATGTGTTTTTATCATTGGGGACAAACCAATTTCCTGTTGTACATCCAGCATCAGACTGGCACATTTTTAATCTCTGAATGACGTACATTTTTAACAGTGGGAAAATATATTGGTGAGAGTTTAGAGCCTTCACTAATCGTCGCTTCAGAGACCTGCCAATTCTTCTGATTTTGGAAACAGAAAAGATTTTTTTAATTTCATTACTACTGCAGCTGCCGATCATGATATACATGTGGGACGAATACCTGAAATAATACCCAACTTCCCAGACATCGGGACTAGCAACGTACTAAATCCACAATCAGATAGCATTAAATTGCTTTCGAACCTAGGAAGTAGTGATGATCGAACTTCTGTCTCATATAAGGTGACATATCCAAAGAGGAGTGCGAGTTTTTTAACCGACAATTAATGTAGAAGCCACCCAGCTGAGTGTGATATGATTCATCGTTGTGATCTCAGAATTAGAGCATAATCGACCAAAGAGGCTAGAACATCAGAAGTGTTACACCTTCGGAACCATAATCATCAATTAATATAGAACTCACAAGCTGAACGTGGTGAGTTTCATCGTACTGATGCATTATAGACAACGCAATCGAACACAGAAATGAAAGATGAGCAAACTTCTGCATGATTTACCGGCGCTGATGCCAGAGATCCGAAGAGGTGTGCGAGTTTTTTGAACTGGAGAGTGATAGGGCGAATCAAAGAGTATTGCGTCGTATATAATATCTTCAGGTCAAGGAGGAAACATCACAATTTAATTTGGAGTGTTAACAAATATGGGCAGATAGGTTCAACTACGGAAACCAATCAAGGATCCCGGTAAATGCGAATCATACAGGTCGATTACAATTTTTTCACAGTGGCTAAGATTTTTGGAACTTTGCTACACCCATGCTGGGTGCATTAGATAATGCTATTCAGTATCTGATCCTCAACAGACGGATATTAAAAAGCAGAGATGGGCAATCTAGTTCAAGGAGCGGATCGATATTTCTCTTCCTATTTGGAAAGGAACTAGTTTCTTAATATAGTTTCGTTGCTCTATGCAGTTCTGACTCCTAGATATTTCTTTTGAATTTCTGTCTTTCGTCGTTCTTTTCCCATAGTTCGGTGTAGTTTTTACTTAATTTATATTCAGAAGCTACAGAATTTAAGTGCAGGACGATAGGCACAAACTATTTTTTTATTATATTACGAGCACATATTTGTAACAAAAAATTAACTAGAATGAAGAAAAGACTATGGTTAAACTTCTGCCTCATTGGCATCAACTGGATGAGTAAGTTCTTCTCATGGATTTCCTGTTCATTGTAAAACTTCGATCATTAAGCTCGACTCGAATGAAAAACACCGACTTAAGAATATTGGCGTAAAAAATATTAATCAGAAAAAGGAACTATAGGAACTAAAGAACATGACCTAGTTCGTATCGTTCCTTTATCGGAATATGAACAAATCCGTACGGCGTCCGGGATGATTACACTATTCGTAACATCTCTTCTCATGACTTTTTTAATTGCCCAATTGGATTATTCAGCAAAAGGAATCATCGGTACTAGATCGTTCACCAAAATCCTCTTGAAACAATGGATGATTGAAAAGGAACTAAATGAGTTGTCTAGTTCCCTTCCCAAATCTCGAACCGCTTAGGAACGAGATTGACCCACTCTAAAAACGAATCACCTAATACGATATGTATTCCCCTTCCCCTTTGCAGGCCGCCGTCTATTTAAGCCGGACATATAGACACAGGTCCATATGTAGCAGCAGACTTGATACACAACAGTAAAAGTTCATACAGTCACAAAGAAGGCAACGTGAAACGATATGCCGGCTGTAATTTGATTTTTGGATTATTATTGAGTACGAAATTACATTACCAAAAATGATCAATATTGGCCAAAGATTCGGGACAGGTTCCATATAATGGAACACCCATTATTTGCCATTTTGGAGATTGGCTGTAATCTGATGATAAAATATCTCTTTGGATAGAAAATATCCCTACTAAAAATTATTAAAATTGGTTCAGTTTTTATGGTAGGTCCCATATAGCGAGTTTTCAACCGATTCGGTATTTTAGTTCTCATTGGTTGGATAACTAAAAATTATTAATATTGGTCTACTTTTCAGGATAGCTCCCTTATAACGGCACCTCTTAAATTAGGGTATTTTGAGCAAGTTTTTCAACCAAAATGGCTGAATCTTTATATTAAAGATTCCTATTGGGTAACAAATCTTCCTACAAAAATTATCAATATTGGTCCACTTTTCAGGGTAGCTTCCATATTACGGTACCTCTTAGCTTGGGCACGTTTTTCAGCGAAAAGGCTGGAATTCAGTATTTTAGGTTCTCATTTGTTGTTCGATGTTCCTAGTAAAAATTATGAATATTGGTCCACTATTTAGGGACCAATTTTTGCTTCCTGCAAAAATTTCGGTGTTTATGAGAGCTTGGGCACGTTTTTTTTTTTGAACGAAAAAGGCTGTAATTCAGTATTTTAGGTTCTCATTGTGTAGCAAATCTTCCTGCCAAAATATATCAATATTGGTCCAGTTTTAAGGGTAGCCCCCACAAAACGGTACCCTTCATGATTCCATATCATGGGGAGCTTGGCCACGTCTGTATAGCCCATATAAGGGTATACAGACGTTGTTCCTACTAAAAATTATGAACGGTACCTCCCCAATGGTATTTTGGGAAAATTGGGCACGTTTTTTAAAACGATTTCGTTGTAATTTGGTAGCCCTCATATTACGGTACCTCCAAAATTTCGAATAATTTAATATTTTAGGTTCTTATTGGATGGGCCATATTCCTACTAAAATGTATGAATATTGCACAACCATTTATCCCATTGTGGAGACTATAATAAGTTCGGTTCGAATTTTATGACGTTTTTTCTTGTTTTTTTTTCGTTTTCCCAACCTCTCGCAAACTTGATTAAAAATTCAGTTTGTTTAAATTTTCAATATTTTGGAACTTCGAAGTTCTCATCTTCTTGTTATTATTATTTGTAATAAATATAAAATAAATTAATTTAATTAATTATTATTATATGTATATAAAAAAATAGTATTAGTCTTGTTTCTCGAAAAAAGCGATTGATAATCAGAAAAAATTAACAAATTAAAACTAGGGGAGGGTCTTATTCTTCTAAAGATGTATCACACAAAATAATGCAGCAGCACAGCCACCGATCAATAAAAAAACAATTTCCAGTCAATTTCTCATCAAGTTCTGGATGAGTGTGGGATGTCAAGCATCCCAATTTCTTTTTTAGCAACCATTAAATCCAGAGGTTGTGGCATAGGCAGCCATGGGGTGATAGTATGCGGGGTTCGATGGGCTGCTGACTGAATAATTGGCGGTGGCTTCCAATGATGGGTGTTGTTGTTGCTGCTGCTGTTGTTGTTGAAATTGTTGCATGTAACGCATATAGAGGGCAGCCCTTTGTCTTTGCAAACGTTCTGCATAGGAGTTGGGACTCAGGGCTGGTGAGGGACAGGTTGTGCTGCCGCTGGCTGTTGGTGATGACATTTGTTGTTGCTGTTGCTGATAGTAGGTGTTGAAATTTGTGGGTGAGCTTTGTGGTGTTGAGACAAATTGCTGTTGCTGACTGCATTCCTCATCCGAGGTTTCCGAAGAGGAATCACGACTAACTTTCCTTTTCCTGGGTGTATCATCACCCAAGGCATAGGGCCGGAATAGGTTGCGGGATGAGTTAGTGGATTTTTTGTGGGTTTCTTGTTGTTGCTGTTGTGTTTCAATATTTTCTTTGTTGTTGTTGCTGATGATTTCTCTTTGTCTTAAACGCATTCCCAATTTTTTGTGTGAATATCCGCAATTGAACTTCTTGTGGGTGTATCCATGGCCCATAGCTTGTTCTTGTTGATCATGATGTTCCATTTGTGAGGGAGCCATTTTTGTTGTGTTTATTTTTTGTATTGTTTTTGTTTTGATCGCGTTTGAATGTGTTTTCGCTTTGCTAGACGCAAGCAGACTGATGTTTTTCGTTGGCAGGCCTTTGGCTTTTATAGCCAGGGTGAGAAGTGGAAGAAGAATTTTGGTGTTCTTGGTGGTGGTTGAAATTCTCTTTCTCGCCTTGTGTAGCAGGTAATCGAATTTTCCAAAGTGTTATTCTAAATGATCGCTGGGTGTTTGTCTATCCGTCCGTCCGTCTGTCCATGAGTCCCTTTTTTCCCGCTAATGGCTACACAAACAATTTCAAACACATTTCCAAAAAAACACCCATTTCGAATATTTATATTTTATGGCCTGCCTGTCAGATTAAATATTCTGACTGGCTGCTCTGCACTAAATAAAGAGGATTAGTTCTGGCCTAGGGTGAATTCTAAGAGTTTCTAGAGTTCACATTAAATTAATCCCCATGCACCGAGTGTTTGTGAGTTTACCTAACGGTCGTTTGGTTCGTCCGTCCGTTCGTCTGTCGGGCGGTTCGACCTTCAGTTCCTTTTGTTGTTGTTATTCCACAATTTTTTCCCTTTTCGGAAAATTTGTTCTGTGTGAGTGTCTGTCTGTCCGTCTGTCTGTGTTGGGCCTTTAATTTTTATCGTCTATTGTTAACTCTGTCTCCGGAGCCCAACAGGATATCAATTGTTTTGAAGTATGAACACTAATTAATTTTTCATTTTCATTTCGGATCGAAACGGAGGGTTCTTTGTGTGTGTGTCTAAGAATCCCCCTTGCCTGGCTAGACATTGTTGTTGTTGTTTTCGTTTTTTTTTTCAAATTGTGTCATATGTTGTTTTTTATGGTCTTAATGTCTTCGAAGTATAATAACCCGTCAAGCTATATTAGTGGTGCTGTTGTTGTTGTTATGTTGTATTGGAAATGCGACACAAAAATTAGGCACCCTGCTGTGGTAAATTGTGTACCCCCGTCCTCCTTCCATCCATCTATCAATACAGATTTGAAGTGCTGTCGTTTTTTATATGGAAGATTAGAAAAAAACATCGATCCGTAAAAAAGATACCTCCCCTATTATTGTCACATTTTTTTCTTTCGATGTTTTTTTTTCTTCCTCCGCTACTAAAGCCTTTATGTTTTTTTTTTGTCTTGGCTGAGTTAATGACAGTTCTATAAAATTTATTACACACTTAACATTTTGTATCGATTGTTATAATTCCGATTTTTTTATTTTTTTCTGTGTTTTTTTTAGGATTCTATGAAGGGGGCGTTTTTTCGAGGTTTCGTTTCAATCCCAAAGCGGCAAGTGAGTGAAAGTCATACTAATTCCCCCTTATTGTTGTTGTTTTCTATTTTTTTATTTTATTTTGTTATTGTAAAGGGTAAATTGAAAATAAAAATAAAAAACAAATGTTCTGCTATTGACTTCTTGTCTTCAAAATGTCCCTCAGACTTCTAAGAATTCTGTGGGAAATTTATATTCTCTAATCACTTATTTGATTAGCACGACCAATTACGTTTTATGTACATGTGTGCGTGTCTGATTGTAAAGAGTGTTTTCTTAATTGACACTTTGAAAGCAGCCGAGGACTTTTTTGTTTGTGTTTGGGGGTAGAAAATGGTCTTTACAACTTTCCGGTCGAACTGCATTGAAGAGTAATAAAGTTTGGAAATTATTTCATGGAAGATTGCAGGTGGAATACGATTTGTAATTTAATTAGTTAGACATTACATAAGGGTCATTTGGAATTAACACAAGCAATCTTAACATGATAATGGAGGGTATTTTAATATTACACACACATTTTGGCGCCCAACTGTTTTAAACGAAGTTTCAATGCATTTCACACATTTTGAAAGCAAACTGATTTTTTTCGTTAGGATTTAAAACGATTGATTATATTGACATTCTATATCAGTGTGTTCAGTTATTTTTCGTTAATTCATTCGCGACCTGCATAATGGCGCCCAATTAATTTTTGAAAAATTAAAATGCCCACTTGACATTTCTTCGAATCTCATGGAGAGCTTTGTCATCTTGCACAAACATTGCTACTTCTACACATTTTAGTATTGCCCCAATGTAACGGAAACTCCAAATATTCGGTATTTAGCGGGTTTTCAACCGATTTGGCTGCAATGTGGTAATTTGGCCGATGTGGCAATTTGACCGACCATTTTTAAAGCAGCAATTGTAAATATTTGACCACATCCCTTATCCGTGTAAAATTTGTGATGTTCGGCTTACAATAGAGGCCTTTAGAGCGACTGAAACCATAGAATAATAAGGCTTTAGGTCCATTCCATTCCCTAAATATGATCGGGCCATCACCGAAATGTGTAGGTTTCATCCTAGACCATAACGTGAACTTCCTTTAATAGTTCTTAGCGATCTGCGCAACATCTTCTAGTCTGGCAATGGTAATATTTATCATACAAAATACATAGACACCTGAGTTTATCTTAGTGTAACTCCCACATCCGAGTACCTACAACAATATAATAGGTATCAGTTTAAAAGCCAACAGCTCGTCTTACATATACCACCAACTTCTCGGATCCATTTACTCCAGGAGTAAATTTATTCGCTATAGAATGCAAGCTTTATTATTTTCTACACAAAAGGTTTCATTTGACCGGCTAATTATTGGCCGATCTTCATTAAAATAGTCATATCTATTATTTGGCCAGATTCCCTTCTCTATGCAGAATGATAAAGTTGTTGTCCATTTCATCTCCTAAATATTGACAGATCATTACCAAAACCAATAGTGGTCTTCATTGGCCAGAACGGGTCCTACATGCTTGGCAAAGCTTCCATATAATGGAAACTCCTTTTAACTTTTTAAACTCCTAACCCAATTAGATTTTAGGTATTTTGAATATCCATGTCGTGGTGGAGAATATAATAACGACGATTTTACTTGTTTATTTTTACATCGTTAATTAAGGCAATTGTTACAGTTAATGAAAATGGCACCCAACTGTTTTGGTCAAACATTTTAACATACTTTGAATAACTACTAATATTGTAGGCTTACAGTGCATCAAAAACATCAAACATTCTGCAACAAATTTCTTGTTCTCCATAATCTACGAGGATTGGATACAAGTGGAAACGCACAAGATAAGCATTCTAATATAAATTTCTGGTCTTCGTGGAACATTTCTAAAGTCTTAAAGCGACATTTTTAATTTATAAGAATATTTGGATGTCAAAAATTATGTTGTCTTGTTGTAATTAAAATACGGTTCAAGAAAATGAGAAAAAAAATAACACGCAAGGGATCGATCTCGGAAGATGAAATGTTAGACAAAAATATTCATCAATCGAAAGAGTATCATTAAAGGACAGTAGACTAAATTAATCATAGATCATGTTTTTGAATTTCGGTGTAATGAATTCATGGATTTCTTTTTTTGTTTTTGTGGTGAAGTTAATAAAGATTTGATTCCCAGAACATGGAAAGGATTAGTTCCAAACTTTTTCTAATTACTGATTCCTCTGTATGTCTTTATATTTAATATATGGCGCCCAAATGTTCAAATCACTGTTTGATGGACCTCTTAATACTGTACACGTACATTGGATTAAGGGTTTTAAATGATTTAATTAAATTTTTACGTACGTACAAATGTCGTAAGTTTTCTCTTTTCATTTTAATTTTTCCAGGCTAGGTGTTTCGAAACGTTTTTGTTTGTCTACACTTTTTATTATCGATTAACATAGGAATTACAAATAGAATTTTAATTTTCATTCTTGTAATTCTTCAAATAGTAAACACTTTGGCGCCCAATTGTTACGTTTGACGTAAACGATTTTGTCCAAACTTTTCTCAAAAATTTAAAACTGCCAAGAAGTCTTTCACAAATTATAGAGAATTTTCGGGCTACCTTATTTACTTGTATGCATATCGGTTCGTCCTGACTATTTTGCAAAAACAAAATACAAATGGTATCCCAATCAACCCGCCAACACTACTGAAATTATATATTTCTCTAGGAAAATAAACATTCTTATCACTACTATTTGAAGTTTGATGATTTACCTTGATCTATTATCTTCTTCACGATGATCAATGTTCATCGCTGATCTTATTTTGAATAATCCAGATGTTCTTATCCCCTCGATGATCCTCGGGCTTAATCCCTTTGGAGATCAATAATTTTCTCTAATATACGAGTTAGATCAACTTAATCATGAAGATTTTGATTTTACATTTATAGAGGTTTATGAAAAACGTCTTCGCGAATTGATCTTTCCATATGGAGATCGTTGATCTTTTTCTCTATGAAGATCATTAAATTTATCTATGAAGAATGTAAGTCATCTTCTCTCTAGAGATAGGTATATTTCCTATGGAGATCGTTGATATTTTTCTCTATGATCGTTAATCTCCATCTCGATAAATATCGTATATTATCTTCTCTAAGGAGATTATTAATCGTATTTTCCATTCATAGAAGAGATAAATAATCACAAAAAAATCTTCATCTTCAGATTATGTGAACGGGATTTACTTTGGCGAACCTGATGAAAGCTAATGAAGAGCATCCTAAATGACTTTCTCCATGAATATCGAAAGCCATCGTTTATATAACGAGAATCAATCATTCCTTTACCGTGAAGATCCTTTAAGTATTTATATCCATCAATAGCATTCTTTTCTAAGAATATCCCATATATTCCTCATTATAATAATCCCCAATGAACACATTCCCTATGCATATCAATATTCTGAAGATGAATGGTCTTCTTGAGGGAAGAGAATAAAAACAAATCATATATATGTTGGTAATGGATATAATCAGGATTTGGATATATGATGATGACCATTTAACAAATAACGTTGCATTGTTCGTGGAAGAAACGAGAATCCCTTGTCGAAGTCCCTTTCTTAAACGACATTTACATTAGAACATTTTATCGGGTTAATCTTCTTTATGATGATTTATTTGACATATATATAATGGAATTGGCAGTTTAAGGGGAC